CCAACTTCTTCCTGTCAACTTCTTCTTTGTAGTTTGAGCCAGTGGTAACATCCGGTCGTTGATCATGTGACTCATGTGCAGAGGAAAAAGTATTTCCATTTCAGCTTTTCAAAATAAACCAAACATCCTACCATAAAACATTTTTATTGAAAAATACGAGTTTTTTTTTTTTTTTTTTTTAAATTGCTGCATTTCCATTAAGCATATTTCTTTTCAAAATGCCGTATTGTTCAACTATGTGGCCGATGGAAGCGCAGCGATGGAGTGCATCCTGACACAGAAGCCCAAACACACATGCATTTTCCCTGCTGTTTGAATTTAAATTGAATTCTCTTATCTTTACTCGCACCCTTGCTCTCATCACACCCATCCTTCAGACACCAGACTCCAGGTGAATTTCAATGTCAAAGACGCTAAGGTATTGCAGGCGCCGCAATCTGTTCATTCTGTCAACTGGGTGTGTGTGTGTGTGTGTGTGTGTGTGTGTGTGTGTGTGTGTGTGTGTGTTGTTGTGCAGGGGTCTACAGTATGTGCTCTGATTGCTGGGGGTTAGGCCCATTCATCTGTCTGGTGTGATCATGGCTCTCTGTAACTGGGCCTAGGCGTGAGCATACTCTCTGTGATCTCCCTGATAAGAGTCATCCATCTGCTGTGTGTATCTGTCAGGGCCCGGGCAGCTCCTCTTATCAATGCACTCATCCGTTTCCCTCAATCATTCCCGCTCTGTTCTCTTTTCTCACTCTTGGCTGCTTTCCCCCTCTTTGCAGCTCCGAACTTCTTCTTGATCCGATGACGGGGGAAGAATCGCACTTACGTGGACCGGCGGCGTTGGGAAAAAAACCTGCCAGCCTGTAAGTGGCGCACACAACCTCCTGCAAAATACTAATGCATGCATGGAAGAATGCGAGCCGTTTCTTTATGAAGGAGTCTAAAGCATGTACACGTGTGCAAACACACACACTCACACACAGATTGTTGATATTCAGGGGCCCCACCTCAGCCTCTGAGATTATCTACAATAGATGGGACTCAAAGAGAAGCTGCAGGTTTTTTTTTTTTCTTGCAGTCTTTCCAGGAGAGAATACCCTCCTAATCATCAATCTTGCAGATGAAGAATTAGCTTTTGTGTGCAACCCTTTCATTTTTCACTCCAACTAAAAGGATCTGAGACTTGGAAAAACTACTGAAAACATGAGAACATGAAGCGGCATGACAAGAAGATTTGTGTACAGTACAAATACGAGCTCAGATCAGGGGAGTGTAGTGTACACAGAGGAATCCATTTAGGATTTTGCCGCCCCGCACATAACAAAAGGCTTTACAAACAACCCCCAGACCACAAAACAGCCTGAAGAAAGCTCTGCTGTCCTGGCAATCTGTACTTAGTTTGTCACAATCAATATTGTAGGAACCAACCCTATTATTAATTTATATCTAAGAAAACACGTTGGGCTTTTAGGTGGGCTGGATTAAGCCGCTTGTAAGAGGAGACAAACACTGTTTAGCATGGGTACCCTTCATGGGGAGTCCATGGGTTTCATCATCAGTATTAATAGTGTAGGCCTAACCCATATTGCATGCTCTGGGTGCTGCTGGGTCCACACCAGGACAGGTTTTTGCTAGTGGAATATTTATAGCTGTGCATTAAAAGTGGAATCAAGGGTTTAAGTGTACTGTTGCAACAGAGCTGCTGCTCCTTTGTCAGGGCCTGTCCAAAAATGCCTTTCCCGGGGCTACTTGCAGCGATGCATTCGCGCTGTTAGCAGGATCACACAACCGCTGTCATATCAAAGATGGAAAACATTAAGAAGCAGCTGCAGGATTCGTTTAGTTTTCTCAGAAATGGAAGCATTGTAGCCAAACCCATGTCAAAGTTTGTATAAGTCACATCCATACATCAGTATTAGTCATTTTATTACAGTTAGCCCTGTCTTTTTATTGACACCTGAATGATTAAACGCTGCTTTGAATTTTCAATGAATTGCCAAACCTTCTTCTATTATGTCCAGCAATAGAAACTTACGTAAGTTTAATTTAACACTGCCGCCTTGTGGTGATTTGAGGTAAAACATGTTAAAGAGCTCGGCACACAAAATATGGAAATGAAATTTTGTTGTACATCTCAAATTCACATTAAAATAACCTTCTCTCATCTTGTCACTTTACAACCATAAATATTGATTCACTTTATTTGGATTCTACACCAACACAAAAATAACATTATTGAGATATTTCTACAAATAAAAATCAGAAAAGTGTCTTGTATTCAGCATAATTATGCTGTTTCACTGTATACTGACACATTATTGCACCTCTATATACTAGAAACTACAACACACAGTTACAAGACAACAATGACCTGACCTGTTGTTTTACTAGTAATTTAAGCGAACCTGAATATTTACAATCCTTCTCTTGATAGATTGGAACCACATACCTGCTGTCTGTCAGCCACTTAGGAAAGCTTTTTAAATTTCATTTCCTGCCCTTGAGTTTTCTTTTCTGCCTCCCCATCTCAAGCTCTCTGTCATCAGAGGACAACACAATTCAATAGCAGGGAAAGAAAACTTGCTATGCTCAGTGCTCGGTGCATCAGGGCAGTCGTCCAGCTGGCCGTCATGTTTTTGAGTTATAAAATGTTTAAAGTCGACAGGAAATTCAAAATTATCACTTGGTAGCTGTGCATTATTGGAAGACCGGAAGTTTAATACCTAAACACCAACTACAAAGTTTTAAAAAGAGGAAATCATTAAAAAATACTGGAATAAATTCACAATGCTTGGTCTGGTGGGGGCACAAGTAAAGCCTGGAGGCCCGCCAGGCTTATAATACACTGAGGGAGACCCTGAATGGAGGAAATAACAAAAAAATTGCACCTCTGTAGGTTTTCAGTTTGCCACAAATTATGTATGATACACAGCAAAATATGTGGAAAACAGTTGTTCCTATCGATGAGATCAGCATTTACATCTTTAGCCTGCATGCAAAAACAGTGTGGAAGAAATCTAGCACTTCCTATCACCTTGAATCTGGATCTACACAATGAAACATGGTGGAGGCAGCATCATGGCGGGGAATGAGAAACTGGTTAAAGTTGAGAAGAAGAAGTTAAATCCAGGGCAACCCTAGAAGAAAACCTGAAGCTGCAATTTTATTTTACAATTTCACCGTTTCACCGTGTTAGCATGACGTGTCAGTTCTGAATTTATTTTTATTTTACTCCTGTTCATTTATTTATTTTGCATATTTGGGCAACTATTTCTTCTGGTTTTGTATCTGGACAGTCATTATGATGCGAAACCATGGCAACAAGGAATTGTTCTTAGAACTGATTAGCATCTGGAAAGCTAAACTAACTCAACCACAACCCAGAGGAAATGTAACCGAAGGAGGAAATTCAAACCATTTCTTCCATCTATCATAACGGGCAAGGATGAAATCCCCAACTCCATCCTCTTTCCATCCTCTTAAAGTTCAGATTTAAATTTTAAATGGGTGTAGTCCATCCAATCTGACTGAGCTTCAGCTATTGTGCAAAGAATGAACAAAGAAAAAAAAATCCAGTTTCTAGATACCCCCAAAAGAATGTAACTGGAGTAAAAGGCGATTCTACAAAACATGATAAACTGCTCATTTTCCCTCCACTTCACTCTTAACTACTGCCCAATGTTTGAATTTTGCATAGAATTTGTCTAAAATACTCCATGTTTCTGTTTGGATGAATACTTCTGCAAAACAGCTCAAATGTAAAACTCACAATCAGCAAAGTCAAACAGCATTTTATTTATTAGGTCTGAGTCAAAAGATGGACATTTATCTTTAAAGCAAACAAGATCAACCAAGAAAACAAAAACAAGTAGAAATAATAAAACTACACCGTTCTAAAAAATAATAAAAAAGAAATCACAGCACACAAAATATAAATGTTGTCTGAGAGAACAATCAGAAACAAAATCCAGATTATTTGATATCCACGAATTAAAACATGAATCTTATTATTCAAAAAAACCTTGCTGAAGTAGTATTTACAGGTTCGTTGCTAAGAAAATCAAGCGAATACAAATGCTTTTTTTTTTTTTTTTACAGTGCACCCCATTACAAACTGCTGTGAATTCAAAGTTTATACCACACAGCAATATTCCTCTACACAGCAGTGTGCTATTAATCTCCTGTCTTACAACTTGTGCTAACTGGCATGCCATAACACAAATGTGTAAAAAGAAAAAAAAGACCCATAAATACCAATGTTTTAGTTTTTTTTTAGAAATGTAATCTTAAAAGACAAACTTTGGATGTTTACATTGGCTATTTCAAATTGCGTTTAAGTCTAAAGAAATCTCAAAGTTCCTACGCATTGTTTGGGTGCCTTACATAAACCTGGGAATCCACAGAAACGCAGCTTAAATTAAGTGAGGATTATCGAACATCAGAGATAGTTTACAGGTGTGGATGTAACATGACGGCACAGGTAGAGGAAAACAAAAAACACACTGGTAGTCTATCAAAATAATTATTGTTCCTATATACTACAGTAGAGTCCACATTTCTTTATACACAACCAACAGTAAGTATAAGCATAAATGATTTAAAACTAGCCAAGTTATTTCAACAAAACGACCACCATGATCATCCCTGAGAAGACATTTTGGTTCTGTACTCAGTGCATCTGAAATGTACGATCATCATATCAAATTGAGCTCATGACATATTCGCTTCGTCACGCGTCGAGTTAAAAAACAGCTTGAAAAGATCAATATTAATGCCTCTGATGATTTCAGTATTAAGCGAAGAATCGGCTAAATCTAACTACATGCGAGTCGGGTGTTATAAACTGTTCGTAGAAACTATCTTTCTGAATTTTGGAGTGGGGATAGTGAACCTGAAAATGTGCGTAGATATAAAAGGAAAGAGTTGCACAGTAATGTCTATAAATAGACAGAAGGGACATGCTGCCTTGGCTTTACTGTTACAATTTACCCTGATTTAAAAGCGTCTGTCTATTTTAGGTAAAAAAAAAAAAAAAAAAAAAAAAAAGACTGATATTTTGTGCATAAAAATGACACCAGGAAGAACGATTCAATGTTTGCACTGCGTCTCCTCTTCATATTCCCAGTTTCTCGTCCCTACAGCGGCTTGCTCAAACACACACAACGCAGCAGCCACAATATAAAAACCAGAGCGCTGAAGTCAGTCAGATGACTTCCCAGAGATCCTGCGTCCGCGTCCTGATGACCCAGGACTGGTTTGGAGGCACAGAGAGGACCTAGAGAACACCAGCAGGTGGTTTGAACGCTGCGGTTTACTGGTGTGCATCTGTTTATCTTCACTTTTTCCTCTTAGGCCTCCTCCTCCTCCTCCTGATCGCTGTCGTCAGAGCCTGCAGGGTAAAAATAACACAGAAATAATCCCAGGAGATGAAATGGAATCTTATTCTGTTCCTCCACTTCTGTTTTGAACAGAAAACGTGAAAAACGGTGATGTCTTACCGTCGATCACAATTTCTCCACTGCCCTCCTCTTCCTCTTCCTCCTGGCTCTCATCTGAGGAAGACACATTTTGTTGTCCGTTCAGTGCTTTTAACGAGCCTCGCACATTTCCTTATTTCACTAACTTAAACTTTAATGTATTTTTAGACGTCGGGAAGTGGTGTAGAACAGGAGTGGAAGAAAAATTATACAAACTAACACTCTGATTAACACTTTGTAGAAACGACTTTCTTTGCGATTAAAGCGCCATGTTTTTGAACGACCTCGCTAAGGATGTAAACAATTAACAGAACAAAGTATCGCTCTCACTACAGATAGTAAACCGGCCTGACAGCGGAGAGCAACAGCTCTGGAAAAATCAAGATCCCACTGCACTGAATTTGACTGAAAACCTCCTGGTTTGCAAATATTGATTTTTGAGTTAAAACATTAGTATTGTTGTTTCTAAATGAATATTAACTTGTTTTCCTTACATTATTTGAGGTCTGAAAGCTCTGCATCTTTTTTATTTTCATCATTTCTCATTTTCTGTTAATAAATACTAAACTTTTGCTTGGAATTTCAGAGACATGTCAATAGTTCATAGAATAAAATAATAATGTTCATTTTACTCAAATATTTACCTATAAAAAGTAAAATCAGAGAAACTGATCATTTTAAATGGTCTCTTATTTTTTTCAGAGCTGTATATCAGTTTCTGTTCACTTCTTTGACACCAAGTGGCTTTAATAATGTCTCCATTTCTCCTCACCGATAGAGCATGAACATCTCTTTCATGCACTTCATATGTTTTATACTTTTATTAGGGGGGCACCGGTTGCAGTTTTCTGGTCGACCGCCAATTACCGATCTTAAAAAAGCCTGGCCTGCCAATGTTGCTAATTATAGCAAGAAAGTTGCAGAGTTGGCAACAGTGGGATGACGATTGTTAACTACAAACATGCAGACATGACCTGGTGGCCCAGTCTGTCAGTCAAACGTCTCTCACTGCAGAACAGAAGATTTGTTGGCTGATTTTTAGACCTTTTCTGGGGTGGATAAGATCGGCATCACGTGTAAATATCTGCCAATCACAGATCTCCCAAAATTAGATAAATTGGTGCCGATGAATCGGTGTACCCCTACTCTTCATCTTTCAATTCAGCAGCCTTAGCGGCTCTTTTCTAAATATGTCTGAGTTGAAAAAAAGCAAGAAAACAACCATTTTCTGTTTAATCTGATAACAAAAAAATTTTTAATGTTTTTTTTTGTTTGTTTGTTTGTTTTTTTTTTAAATTCAGCATCTGAAAAATTTAACGCTTCAATTTATGGAAAGACAGTCAATACTCTTGACACGAGAGAAAACTCAGGTTTTTAAGAAAATGGCCACTTATCAATTAATATTTACTGTATCTGTAAGCTCAATCGATAACTTGCATCTCAAGGTCTTGCACAAATTGAAACTGGAATTTTTGGGCATTCTTCTAGTTTAAACTCAGTCAGATTGGAGGGTTCCCCCCAGTGTATTGTAAGCCTGGCAGGCCACCAGGCTTTACTTGTGCCCCCACTAGGCTTAGCATTGCTTATTTATTTAAGTCTTTAAAATGTTTGCATTTTTAAGACTTTGTAGTTGGTGTTCAGGTAATCAATTAATCTTCCAAGAACACATAATTATCAAGTGATATTTTCAGATTTCACATTTTTTAACTCAAAAACACGATGGGCCGCTGGATAAATGACTGCTCTCGCACACCAACCACTAGATAAGGTTTCTTGGGGAAACCTTGAGATTGGATGGAGAGCATCTGCAAATGTCAACTTTCATATCCAACAAAAGATTGTTGAGATTTGGACAAAACATTTCACAGCAGCTGGAAGACCAACATTCAACCTAATATTAAGACTTTTGCAGCTTTTGAAAGGTTTTGTCATCCATTTTCCCATCAACTCTGATCAGATTCGCTGTCCCTGCTGAAGAAATGCATTCCCAGCTCAAGGTGCTGCGTAGTGAAGAGAAGTAAAACAATTACAATATTTAACTTTAGCACAAAATGGCCAAAATAAATAATAAAGGTGAGCTTTCAAAATTCAATAAGATACGTAATCCATGTGGAATATCAGGCAGTTCATGGAGCCACCATTTTTTAACCAAGATAAAAGAGATGTTACGCAATAAAGTGAAGCAAGTGAGTTTTACACACCAATATTAAGGAAGTATAAATTGATATCTGTTCAGCATTAATTGATGTCTGACAATGTTTGCTGGAATTGGTGTTTAGTTTATGGACATTTTTGAAAAAAGAAATGTTATTAGCCATTAATAATGATCTTATTTTGTTCTTTCCATTTGTATTGATCAAAAACCGGAGAGTTAAAACTGAATACTGAAGATTACAGTACAGAGAAGAGTGTTGTGATGATTTTTGAGGCTGAATCGTTTGGCGCCACAGCGGCGTCTTGGGGGTGATTAATTGTCACCTTCCCCGGCCTGTCAGGTTAGATGGACAGCCGTGTCTGGGTCAGTTTGCAGTTGTGTCACCTCATTTCATCTTCAGATGATGGATTAAAAGGAGCTCTGTGAGACATTAAAATCTTAGGATAGCATTTTATCATCTAAACCTGCTTTAACTGTCTTTATCTCCGACATGTTTACAATTCCTCGCTCTTCATGATGCCGTTTGCTCTCCAACGTTCTTTAAAAGGAGCAGTGTTGTATTTTCCAGGCACATTGTGCTATAAAATGGCACAATCAAGTAACTATGTTATAAAAATACTGTATACATCAGACACGACTAAAATTAAATGTGACTTTGCAATTTGACGCCTTGAAATTACATTTGCCTCTTTAAGAAGCTCCTGCTGTGACTCCGCCTCCATTACAACAATTTTCATCCATTACAGCAGCTTCCATCTGTTCTTATGAGTTTTATTATGTTAAATTACTCACAGATGGATCTTTATCTGCTACCTGTGTGAGTTTGAATATAATCAGTTGCTCTGGATCATATTGAAGTCAAAGTAATGGGGAGACAAATACAAATGCATTCATTTTATTTTTATTTGTAAATATTCTTTAAGGCCATCATTTATCTCCTCTCTTTGTGGTCAGACACTACAAGATAAACTGACATTTTTGTTTGTAACACGAGAAAATTTGAAATAGTCTAACAATTATACATTTTTTTTAAAGTTATAACAGTCCAATAAACCTCGCCTCACATTTATAAACAAAGGTTACAACAAAAACTCAAACGACCTGGACACTTTGGTTATTAAACAGTTCTGTTTCTGCACCGACCTGGACTCGCTCGCCTGCCGTCTTCCTCCTCCTCCTCTTCTTCTTCTGCACCTTCTTCTTCTTCATCATCGTCGTCGTCCTCCTCTTCCTCGTCCTCCCTGCTGCGGCCTGGATCGGCGTCACCAGTGTCCTCCCCTGGCTCGTCGTCCGAGTCAGAAATCACCACGCAATCATCTCCGTTTCCGTTTCCAGCTGCTCTGGCCTCTGTGGTGCTGCTGGAGAAACAAGCATAGAGACAGTCATGCAAACAACGAACGATAGTTATTCTGGACAAACACACCAAAATAAAAACAAGAAAACATCTCATTTGACTGTAAATTGTAGATTAAAGAAACAGCGTTTCAGATTTTTTTTTTCTAAACTTGCAGCTGTGTGGATCTGTCTGGTTCACCTGCCGTTCTCCCTCGGTTCCCAGAGAGGAGTGAGGTAGTATCTCAGTGGATCTCTGTAGAGGTCGTCCTTCAGTATCTGAACAAAGAACAATAAAATAAAATCACCTGAAAGCAGGTGGCTCTGCCACCATCACCAGGCACAAATATCAACTTTATGGCAACTTAAAACCCAAATAACGTGAGCTGGCAGTGACCTGTACCTGTGCTACATCGTCTTGCACCGGGTTGCTGTGGTCGCTGAACCAGCTGAAAAACGTCTCGTAAACGCCGCGGCATGACTTCCTGGGCTCACTGTTAGCGGTCAGATTGTGTCCGCGATGCCAGAGGATGGGGTTGGAGAATGACATGGGTGACCCTGAACGCATCAGAAAAACAAACATGTACCACAGCAGACACACTGAAAATGCAGTTAAACTGTGGAGCAGACAGATTTGGACGTGACTTGTAAACATTCCCTGAAAACAAACCCAGTGAAAAACCACAATAACTTTAAATCTTTCTCTTTTATAGTACACTTCCAGAATCTCATCACTTCTGTTTCAGTTTACAAGGAAACAGCTTTTACCTCCCATGCCAAGGTGCAATTCCTTCATAATGATGTTATTCTGGAAATATGGGTTCCGTCGGAAGTGGAAGCGAATCCTGTAGCCGAGTTTGGTGTTTTTGAAAGATTCGACCTGAGAATGAGACAAATAAATCTGCTTTGCATTTACTACAGTGGGAGTTGTCAAAATGATTTAAAATATGGACCAATCAAACCTACTTCAAGATCAGTCATGTAACTAAGAGCATCTTCATCAGTCTCATCTATGTGAGCAGAGAGGTGAGGATGGTTCAGCAGCTGAGGAGTTGATGTTAAGATAACAAACAAAGTAGAAAACATGCAGAAGACAAGATGGAAGTAGGGGTGCACCGATTGCAGTTTCCTGTCTCATCGCTGATTTAAAAGAAAAAAAGCCGATTCCGATTATTCTTGTCTGAAATGTTGCTAAAAATAGCAGGAAAGTCGCTGGATTAAAGAATAGGACAGTGGGTGATTTTTAGACCTTTGCTGAAGCAGATAAAAATTGGGGGATACAATCAGCTTCACATGCAAGTATCAGTTGATCCCCAATCTCTGAAAATCGGCGCTGATCAATCGGTGCAACCAGTAGATGGGTTAATTTTGATTTTAAGGATACAGCTGTCACCCAGAACCCCGGGATGGTTTTCGTGATGGAGCTTCTCTGATCAAGATGCGGGCGTCTCTGGCGATTAATCTTCAGCTCCAGCCGTTGATGGAGTCTGACGCTCTTCTTCTCTAGAGCCTCAAGTCTCATCTGCACTTGTGCCAGCAGAGCAACAGACTGCCTCATCTCTGGGGCCATTTTGACCGACACAATCGCACACTCTCCATCATCATTGTCCTCATTGTCAGATGGGAAAGAGGAGCTGGGTGTGGAGGAAGATCCCGAGACGGATTCATCCCCTTCGTCTGCTTCGGCAGCATCATCTTTATCTTCTCTGTCGGTACTCCGTGCTGATGTGGAGCTGTCTGCAGCTGCCTGTGTTTTGGAGCCAACTTTTGAAGGCTGGCCTGGCCGCTGTTTGTTTTTACTTCCATGTTTCACTGGTCTCACTTTTGCAGATGAACACGGGGTCTCTTGGCTTTCCTCTCCGTCTCCGCCAGTGAGACTGGCCAGTGCTTCAGCAGCTGCTATGGCTGCGGAGTCGGACTGGTCCACAGGAGTTGAGGGATGCTGCACTGATTCAGCTGTTTTCTGGGTTTCCTCTTTTGAATCGGTGGGTGCCGAGGCCTCTGAGGACTGCGGTTTCTCGGTGATGTCGGCATGGTCACTGTTAGGGCTGGAGCTGTTAACGGGCTGCTCGCTGGTGCTATCTGTAAGGTCCGAAGCCTTATCTGTCTGCACAGCAGTTCCTTCAGCAACAGTATCTTTTGGCTTCCTCTGAGTTTCTTCTTTACTTTCAACTTCACTGTTTTCGCAACTTTTTGAAGTTTGTCCAGTTCCATTTGCGTCGTCACTTACTTTAGCGAACTTATGAGGAATCGCATCGTCTTCGTCCAGGTCGAGTGATGCGCTCCGTTTCCTCGATGCAGGGTCACCGGACTGTTTGTAGTCAGTCACTTCACTCATGTTAGCAGGCTAGCGAACGTGCTAACAGGCTAGGAGGCCCGCAGGCTCTTAAAGATAAGTGCGGTCGATTACACCGTTGGCGTAACAGCTTCTACAATTAGCGCAACGTTACGATATATTTGGCAGCTTTAAACTACATTATTGGTAAACACAGATCAGGAAGCAGCTCTCGTAACTCTCCGCGGCCTCGCGGGGAACGTTAAAATGGGCAAGCTGCAGCTAACTTAGTTAGCTTACGTTACCCAATTATTGAATCCTCGCCTTGACGACACCACAGCATCTCCGCCAATATAATCCCAAGAAGAAATACTTTATTTAGCCATTCAAACCCACCAACACAATGCACCCTTCCAGAAACTACCCGCGTTCTCCAGATAAGTTTAGATTTGCATTATCCGTTAGCTTACTACCCGTGAAACGACGCCAGAGAAAAACAATCCTCTGATTGGTTGCGCCACGCCGCGCTAAAACATCTCAACCAATCATCGGCAAGGGTGTGTTTACATGGCGTTCTATCTGAGGTGGAGTTAACTGCGCAAAAAGGACACAACGTCCAAATATTGAAATTCAGTTCCCCCATATATAATAGTATTTAAACAGCATTAAAGGCATTTTTTAATTTCTGGGTTGGTTAGAGTGACGATGAACAATACAGTTAAATTGCTCTCAGTTTTTAATATGAGTTTCCAATATAAAATTTATATTAATGCTTTGAAAGACGAACAGGTATAATCTATTCTTACTTATATAAAATCTAATTCGTTTTTGATAGGTAAATTGTATTGACTTTTGCTTATTTATTTTCATTGTTATTTATTTTTGATTAGTGCAGAAGGCGAATGTTAACACCAAAATGCTAATAGATCAAATTGCACAAATCCTAACAAAACAAATCAAGAAAGCCTGGGATATTTCCTATTTAATATTAGCACTTTTTTAGACATCTCCGTAGAGTTATTATTATTATTATTATTATTATTATTATTATTATTATTATTATTATTATTATTATTATTATTATTATTATTATTTTATTTTATTTTAGTTTTTATTATTTAGTTCATTGTTTTATTTATTCATCAGTTCATTCAAAGGCTGAACTGAGTAAATGTGTAATGAGTGTTGTATTTACCCACTGTCTCCACTAGAGGGCGTTCAGTCAGCCCGGGCTGAGGAGAAGCATTGGGTGCAGTAGGATTACACCAGTTTAAAAAAAAACACATTTGGGTCACGTCAAAGGAACCAGCACTAATATTAGAGGCTACTGCTTTCAGAAGAGCTGCCAAACAGCGCCGCATAAAGTCATCTTAGCCAGGGGATAGTCTGTCACAAGGACTTGGAAAGCCAGGTTTTCCACGGGTGACATTTAACGCCACACGCGTTGTCAGGACAGAGGGGCTTCTCCGTGCGTAACGCAGATTCGGCGCTGGATCCACACTCCTCAAACCATGAATACTTGCAAGTGTTTAATTTGAATGCGACATATGCACTCTTCTGCAGATATGTCTTTCTTAACCATACCAAGCCAAGAGGGCCTTTTCAAAACGATTAAAAACAGCAAGTCGGCCGGAGAGGCGGAGGGTCGCTCACGCACGGACGCCGCTGAGGAAAACGACGATGAGGAGGATGAGGATGAGGATGACACCGATGATGTCCGTCTCATCCCCAGATGTTCCCCGGTGCCTAGGAAGCGGGGCGCGTCCATCTTTGACGAGACAGCCGAGTACATGCGGATCCACCAGGCGCTCTCTGCAGGAAAGCGGGTGTCGTTCGCCGACACAACAGGTGGAGATCTGGTGGATGTGCGCGAATTCGCAGCCTTCGACTCGGACGAGGAAGACACCGCAAAGTGGCAGGAGGAGGAGGCGAAATACCGCAAAGCAGAGCGGGAGCCGACCTATCGAGTGCACCCGGAGTTCCACGCTCCCAGCGTCGGCGTCCTGCTGCAAGCTGTGCGCTCCAACAAAGTGGAAGTTGAGCGGATATCCCCATTGGAGGACGAGCCGCTCGCATTCAGTGGAGTAATTCGAGTCCTGAACATCTCCTTCCACAAAGCGGTGTACATCAGATCAACCATGGACAACTGGGGTACTTACTTTGATTACCCTGCAGAGTATGTGTTTGGATCTAACGACGGCGACACTGATCAGTTCTCCTTTAAGCTGTCTTTTGCACCACCGTACACCACGCACGGCTCACGCATTGAATTTGTCGTGCGCTATGAAACCTCGGTTGGTGATTACTGGGCCAATAACTTTTCCATGAATTACGCTGTGACGCTCCTTTTGTCCTATGAAGATGATCCAACCCAGACCAGCAGTGATACGGCACAAAAAAGAAGCATCCTGAAGAGCCCGAAAGTCTACAGGTAGCTGTTTTATATGCCTGGAAGTTATCAGTTTTAAAGCTGCCGTGTGGGACTTTATAAAATATATGTTTTTTTCTTATATTGGTTAAAACTGTCACCATGTGGTGACTGTATGTTATGACAAAGATAGTCCATGAAAAGATCAATCTCCTCCACCTCCTCCCTGAGCAACGTTTGCCATCCCAAGAAATGCAGCTCTCAACCAAAAACAACCAATCACAGCCAGGAGGAGGGTCTTAGCGCTGTCAATCAACCTCATACAGTGTTAATGGCGGAGAAACAACTTACCATTTTGGGAAAACTGCTTAGCCTAAGCGTTCACAACAGACTCTGCTAGCTGCTGTGTAGCAGAGAGCAAAGGTGGGAGCAAGAGGGGAGGATGGGCATCACCACACAGAGGGTGATTGACAGCGCTAAGACCCTCCTAAAAGTTACATACTGCAGCTTAAATGTTGTGTTCCAGTAGTGGGAACTCAGAGCTGGGTTTGACGTCAGATACGAGGTAACAGCTTAACAGGTAACAGTCCACCTCACAAGTTGTAGCTGGGGGTAGTCAGAGTTGCTCCCAGTTTCCCAGTTGATTTTTCTGACTGGGAAGTTTGACTTCCCAGTCTGAATGTTGTTTGGGGCCTTAAGCAGAGTTTGCTTCCTGTTAAGAACATCACCACTAACAGCATTCAGCACACATTTGGTGGAATGTGAGAGAGGAGGACATATTTAACTGTCTGAGCTTAAAAGCAATAATCAATAACTGGTTATTATTTGTTGAGTCGTGAACAAACCAAACTCAAACACAAATAAATTATTAAACTTATAGAATCAAATTGTAACTATATTAACACAAGAATCAAACCATGAAGATGATCAGTGCACTATTATAAAATAAACCTGATAATTCTTCTTAAATCTTACATTTTAATATATATACAATATATAAACAAAGTAAACATTTTAATGTCTACTTAATATTGTTGTCATTCTCAATAAATAAAATCCTTTTTTCTGTTAAAATTAAAGCACAAATGGAAGACCCCTGATGATTTACTTGCCTTAAGCAGCAGCTTAATTCGCTTATGCTTTGGGTCGGCTTTGCTTCAGACAGCCATGAATTGAACAGCTCAGAGTTTACTGTTGGTCAAACTTAAATCAGCTTAAGAGCCTTTTGTCAGCCAACTCTGTTTCTCATTGATGCTAACAGGACAACTGAGCTGATTTCAGAAAATAGCTGTATTTAGGAATTCAATCCCTTCCAAAAGTATTCAACCCTTTAACATTTTCCATATTCTACAAACAACAAACCAAAACTTTAAAATATTTTATTGACATGTATCTGATTAGGCCAACACAATGTAGAGGACATTTGTGCAGAATAGAGAAACGTGTTTTTTTTTTTTAACTTTTTTAACTAAGAAAAATCTCAAAAGTAAAGTGGACTTTTGAGATTAAGCTGCCCAGAATCAGTATTTGATTAATTACAGCTGGATTATGCTAAATCTAGGGGTTTAAATACATTTCCCCCATTCTGCTTTACAAAACAGATTTAATTTCCCTTTGGGATCAGTAAAATATTTTTAAATGTGAATATTGTCAGTGTGAATGAGAAGCATCTGCTAGCAGAAGTTTTCAAGTCTTGCCAAAGATTCTCAAGTAGATTTTGTTCTGAACTTTGAATAGGCCATTCCAGCATGTATGTTTGTATCTATACTAAAATTAAAATACACACTGTGAACTCTGTTTACCTACTAGGTGACTTTTGATGACAGATGTTTGCATTGAATTTTATTCAGGTGGGTGATTTATGAATACAAATAGATAATATATTTTTTATATTCTTTAAAAACAATGGAATTTTTTTCCCTTCAACTTCACAAGTAAAAATTACTATGTTTCAGTCTCATTTAAAACCTTTGAAAAACTGAAGTGAAGAAATTTAAAGGGGACCTATGCTGCAAACTTCACATTTTGCATGTTTTTATTCTTCCATTTGCTTCTAAAAACAACCCAAGTGCTTAAAAATGTAATGTCTTTTGGTGACTGGAAAACGAGCCATTTCCAAAACATCTCAATTATTGAATCGCAATTGACGGGCACTGCATCGTTACCTAGCAACCCAAGAGGACTTATAGTACGTTTGGTGCTGTACAATGGCTGCTAGAAAAGACAAGAATGGTAATGTTGACTTACCATTCAGAAACTACTTTCTATTCTCGTTGGCTCTATTTCTGCTTTTCAAAGATCTATGATTGCATAGTTACATTTACATGCCAGTGTAAATGTTGAGTTGAGGAGGGCGTGGCTAGAGGCAGCTTATTTGGATTTAAAGTGACAAGACACACCAAAACAGCTGAAAATAGGCAGAACTAACCATTATCTGTAATGTAATGAACATGTTAGATCTACCCAAACCTGTTCAAGGAAACATTACAGGTCAGTAGTAGCTCCTAGATAGAGTCATCCCTGCAACACAGACACAGGGGCAGCAGCTACAGAGCAGTATCTCCTTACTAATACCCTTTGAGCCTTTCTGGCTAAAACAAGCATTCACCTCAGTGGTCGACGTTTTGCCACAGAGGAACCCGAATCCAAATTGTGACATATATTCAGACAACATGAAAGGCATTTCTTTGAATTTCTTATTTCTGTTTCAGTTTTTTCCACTTGCCCAGGAAGAGATTTTTCAGAAAGCTCACACCCTGCGCTGAATGCCAGTGGCCCGCGTGGTGTGTGACGCGATGAAAATAGGAAAAGGGCAGGTGTCGTTTTCAGTCCTGGCGTTTCCCCTGGCACTAAAATTTAACTCTGACCTTTCCTATCACTCGTAAGGGAGAAACGATTTCAAAGAGCAGACTGGCCTCTGCCCCACATGTAATTAAGAGGCTGCAGTCTATCAAAGCCAAATAATCCTCTTATTTATTGTAACATCAACATGATAGATGGTAGATCTTGCTCTGGTAAAGGTCCCTTTAGCGACACATGAAGAGGATCAAACAGTTCATAAACTGATAGCCATCATGTAGATTTTCACTTCTGCAGCTGCTTTCTGATAGTTTCTGATGGTTTGTTTACCCAATACAGATTAAGCTGATTGATGAATGCATAAAATATTCAGGCAGTCCTGAATTTGTCTGATTTTTTTTCTTTTGAGTAAAAGAATGAAACATTCAAGCTTAGCTAAGAGTTAGTTGTTAGAGTTAGTAGTTATAAATCAGTTTCACACACACCTGCCCTCATGGTTTCAACAAGCTATTTTTTCCTTCAATGTCATGCTCAGGGTCAAGGGACTGACCAGACATTCGTCTTCACTCAGACATACTCCTGAAATACAACATTAAAATTTGTAACCAAGTCTGTAAAACTCTAATTCAATTATTCTAAAAGTCAGAAATCTTCAGTAATAAGTTTGATTCTGTAATTAAATCAGTTTAAAAGTCTTGAAATTATCTATTGAATTCCAAAAATCACAGTTTCACATTCTGGGATCTGCATACATCTTGATCATGTTTTAATGGCCCATATTTTTCATATAAGGCAGGTCATGGAATAAAACACCAGAAGAAGCTCCTGCAGCTCTTGTCACATGCTCGTCACACGTCTTCAGCTTTTGGCACGCTGAACTTGGGCTCTTGGCAATGCGGCGTTGCCCCGTCTTTTGAAAACCCGCAGACAACATTCCTGTTTCAAAGTGTTTGTTTTTATTTACCTCCGTCAGCGACTGCTCTCCGTACATTCAGTTCTGACATTTAACAACCAGCAGGTGTTTCTCGAAAACCCCCTTACAAATATTTAAAACCTTTTGTGTTCCACTAAACAGCACATATTGTGAGACATATTAGCTAATATTCATGCTAGTTTTTTTTACCATGTGTGGCCTAGATTATATCAGAATAAATCAGAATATATCTCAAATTTGTCTATTCTTCTGTAGAGAAATGCAGCTTTATGACTCAAATAATTTCTATCATGAAGAGGTTGGTTAGAGGTTTCTAATCAGTCATATTTTAGGGTCCATATTTTAGGAACTTAAATGCATGAAAACTGGGGCATAAGGCAAGGTTTTCAGAATATAATAAAGAATTTACATGAGATTTGGGCCTTTTATGACTATTTATTGCCATAACTAAATTACTTTATCCCAAAAGAAAACTGAATGTTTTTAAAATATGTCAGAATGATTGAAAATACCTAATTGCTAAAAAAAAAAAAAAAAAGATCACACAATGGTTCAAGTCCGTGACTTGTTTGTAGGAAGGAAGGGATGAAATGACAACATGTAGATAAGAAATGAAGGGACAAAAGGAGAAAAAAAGAAACATAATAGGGTACTAAGTCAAAAAACATTTTAGTTTTCTCAATATTAAACATTTATGTATGCCCTATGGATCGATTGTTGAAATAATTGTCAACTAACTGACTCAAAAGAAGGGCATTCAATGAAAAACCCAACATATTCAGAGCAGTAAATAAGCCAAGACTGTAGAAAACATATATACATTTCACATTTACTATAAAAACACTTTTGCCTGTCAATATATTTTACCCAAAACTCTGTAAATGTCATTTTTCTATATTCACATAGCTCAAATTCACAAAATAAATGCCATGTTGTGGCATTTTATGCAATAAATGTTTATTTTCTTAAAATAATCTGTTACGGCTTCAGTGGGTCTCTGCCCTTTTTTCCTTTTAGGGTTCTGCAGACAGGTCTCTGCAGGTGATGTGTGTTGCCCTGATTGGTGTTCTGCAGCTTTAAAACTGCCAGCCATGCAGCAGTCAGGAGGCTTTTCCCTCCTCTCTCCTCAGATCCCTATTTGGTTTGGGTTGTATCTTTTGGTTGAGTTTTGTTAGGTTTGTTTAAGCATTTGTTTATTTCTGGTCACTTATAGGTTCTGCTTTAATCTATTTTGGTTTCTCATTTCAGGTATTCTTTTTTTTCAGGGTTATTTCTTTAATATAATTTAATAAATTCTACTTTCATTCAGTTTCTAAATCCTTGTGTGGTCTCCTTTTAATGTTACCCCATCAAACGAGCCTGGTGGACGTAACAAATCAAATAATTTGTTTATTTCCAATTTTTCTAATATTGTATTTAAAAAATGTTCTAAATCTAAATTATATCAGAATCTCTCTGTTTTGGTAAATCTTGATTATCATGTTTCCACCTCCTTCATCTTGTTCCTCACTCTTAATTAGCACTTTTGCTAAATATATTCTAATGTTTACTTATCAAAATTAAATCTGTAGAGAGTTTACTGTTATGCAGCCACAGTAATAGGAAAGGTAATCGTCCTCAAAGTTTATAGGGTTTTGTATTTATGTTTTATATTGTATTTATGTTTTATAATATTTATTATTATTCATTCACCACAGCTGAGAAAATGTTTAAAAATTGTTCAACATTATGAAAACTGTGCTTTCTTTTCTTGCAGCCTGACGTCAGAGGAAGATCAGGAGAAAGGAGACGGTACTGTATAAACACCCACATAAACTGTTGCTTCGTCATCTTAACTGAAGAAATTTTAAAAATATAGCCCCTTTTGCACTGCACAGCTGGACAGCTGGACCCGGGCACTGATCGTTTTTGCATTAGCACTTCCAGCCCGGTACCGCCCGGCTCCCTGGAACCCAAAAAGCTGCGGTTCCAACCGGGCCGGTTTGTAGTCAGCTGTTGATTGGTTCATTGGCTGTGGGGGCGGGACAAAGACCACATCTCTGGATCAGTGGCTGTCATTTCAATATGCTGCATCAATAAATTCCCGTCATAATCTATTCTTACCCTACACTGGGGTTACAATCGCCTCTTCAGCCAAATATTTTAATGGTAAATGTAAATAACATTTCTCCAATGAACCGATCAGAAGTCGCTGTGAACGAGGGCGATTTCCGCATCCGGCGTTGCTCCAGCCGGGAAATCCCGCCTGACGCAGCGGTAGTTCAGCTGGCCGCGAGTCCAGCTCAGACACATTCAGATGAGATTTTTTTTTTTTTTTTTTCGTTAAATGTAAAGCTGAGGTAAATGTTTCTCTCGGCCTCCACGTTCATGATTGCATACAGAAAAAGCGGGACGGGAGACCCAAGAAGAAAACCATAGACATCAATACGTGGACGGAGCGCTGAGGTAACGGCGTCCGCCATCTTCTTTGTGGCGATCGGAGCTCCTTAAGCCCTGTGCTGTGTGTTTCAACCGTTTTACGAAGCAAACTGGATTCATTGGCATTACCGTTCACAGGTAAGGATGAAAGATCAGAATTACTTGACTTTGCAGCCAGAAATTCGCTTCTAAACA